TTTATTAATATTTAGTTCTTGAGAGAGAGGGTCATATATTTCCTCCCCCCACCCCAATATCTGTAAAGACTTGCCTAATAACCTTGTCTGTTGTTGTTTTGAGCTAGGCAGACCAGTGACTCATCTGCAGTTACAATGGTAACTATAATTAGGGAAAAATGCTTCCGCAACTGAGGCTCTTTCCTCTGATGTAAGCGCGCCAGTATCCTTGCACAGGATTAATTCTTTCAATGGTTTGGTGTGGATGTGGGCACCTAGTGCTTATATGTGACATTTAGCATTGTTTTAGTAGATTTTCTGGCTGGAAATGCCGCCTAAGAAGCTTGTACTGTTGTGGAGTCTCTTCATGTTTCTCCACTTGGTTTATGCTTATAGCTATAGCTAGACTTTTAAAAAAATCAAAACAATAGAAATAAATAGAACAGAATAGTAATCAAAGAGAATATTCAGGCCATGTGAAATAATCTGCCACCCTTTAAAAAAAAGAATTAAAAACTAAAGCTCATCGGAAAATTTCCATAGAAATTTTGTCAAAAACCAGGTGGGGAGAAAAACATTTTCTGTTTTCCGATCACCCCGGTTGTTGTGGTTTCTGTATATTATTTATTATTTTTATTATAATAGAGCCTAAAGACTGCAAGCAAGATTAGGGTAGCATTATGCAAAGCACCGTGCAGCCACACAGTAAGTGATAGTCCCTGCCCCAAAATGCTCACCATCTAAAAAGACAAGACAGACAAAGGAAGGCTTATTATCTCCATAGGAAACTGAGAGATTAAGTGGCTTGCCAAAGGGGGCATAAAGGGTCTGTGACAGAGCTGGGAATTGAAGCAATGGTCTTGAATCCCAGGCTAGTGCTTTAACCACACCACTGTCTTCCCTCTCTTCTTCTACCCATACTTAAAATGCTGTAGGCCTTGATCCTACACAGTGTGGGTGCAGCGTGTTACATGTATATGCACAAGGTAAGGGGAACCTGATTCAGTGTTAATGAGAGCACCGCCTGTGCAGCAACCCAGTTACTTCTGTAGGAGTCACACCGAATGGGAGTGTCAGTTAAGCAACTCCTCTGCCTGTTGACGATCAAACACACTCCTGTCTCTCTAGACCCAGCCACTCCCTGTCAACATCCTGGGCCTGACTCTCCCACTGCCTTGTGAAATCATGGACATCAGTGAAATGAAGGTGTAAAAATGATACTACACCTCTACCCCGATATAACGTGACCTGATATAACACGAATTTGGATATAACCCGGTAAAGCAGTGCTCCGGGAGGGCGGGGCTGCGCACTCCGGTGGATCAAAGCAAGTTCGATACAACGCAGTTTCACCTATAACACGGTAAGATTTTTTGGCTCCTGAGGACAGCGTTATATCGAGGTAGAGGTGTATATTGATTTGATACAAGGCGTAAGCCCCTTCTCTGTTGGAGGCCTGATGTAAAGCATTGGAGCCAAGGGAGCATATCCATTGACTGCTTTGAGTTTGAGGGGCACTAGCACCTAGCCTTACTTGACTCGTATGTGCCTGCCTTCTATTCACACTTGTATTAGGGCGTAAGGACTTTGGCCCAGACACTCACTACGCTCTCAAATGAACTCACACAGAAAAATGATAAAAGGCAAAAATACCCTCTCACCCGTGGTCAAACACTTTTCCCAAAGCGACCTCTCAGTCCTCATCCTCAAAAGAAACCTGCACAACACTTTCAAAACACAGGCCTGGGAACTGAAATGCATAACTCCGCAGGACACTAAAAACCATGGACTGGTTTTATGGCTCATTATAACAATTTGTAACACCTCTGCCTGCTAACCCTTAATTGCCCACTTCATTTAAGTGGTCTCTTACAGCACGCGTGAACCCTTGATGCTTAACAATCTGTCCCAACTTGTATTTAGCTCAGACACTCTGGTTAGCTTCCCCAGACCTGAAGAAGAGCTCTGTGATGAAGCTCCAAAGCTGGTCCCTTCCACCAACAGAAGTTGGTCCAGTAAAAGGTATTACCTCCCCCGCCCTTTGTCTTGCTCACATCCTGGGATCAACACGGCTAAAACAACACTGCAAACAGATCCTCAAAGGTATGTAGGCTCCTAAATTTCATTGAAGTCAAGGGCCAGGAGGTGGTATCTTCCTCCAGCAAAAAATATTTACCCTCAGTCGGAGTTTCCTTTTCATTTCCTTTGAGGATCTGGGCCTCTGTACTTGCCACTGCAAAGACCCACAGGATCAAGCAGTGCCAGGCAATATTATAAAGAACAATTGAACTTAGTGGGCTTGAGTCTCTCTTGGCTTGCACCTCCACGCACACATTCACACCCGTGTGCTGCCTCAGCATGGTAGCATCTTACATCCCCTTTGCTCAGTCCTCTTTCCCACCAGGAGGGAATCAGGCCTCTTTTCTGATCATAAGTAAGGCTGTGAGTTTGTCATGGAGGTCAAAGAAGTCAAGGATTCCATGACTTTCCAGGACATTCAGGACTTCTGCAGCGGCTGCTGCTAGGGCAGTCTCGGGCCACTGACCCCAGCAACAGGAGTTGGGATATGGGAGGGGGCTCAGGGCTAGGGAGCTCAGTGTTGGGGGGGACGGGTGTGTGCGGGGGTGAGGACTCCCGGCGGCGCTTACCTCGGGGAACTCCCCGGAAGCAGCGACATGTCCCTCCCTCAGCTCCTAGCTCCACGCACTGCCTCTACCTGTAGGCACCACCCCCGCAGCTCCCATTGGCCACAGTTCCCGGCCAATGGGAGCTGCAGAGCCGGCGCTTGGGGTGGGGGCAGCATGTGGAGCTATGAGCTGAGGGAGGGAGGGACATTTTGCCACTTCCGGGGAGTGCCGCAAGGGGCCGAGTAGGGAGGCTGCCAGTCCCGCCAACCCACCCCCCCAGCACCAGCAGGGGTCCCAGGCTGCTCCCTCGGACCGTGTCCCCCAGAGCACCCGCAGCACCACCTGGGCCGCAAGATCTAGTCAGGAGTATATAGTACAAGGTCACGGGCTGTGAATTTTTGTTTACTGCCCGTGACCTGTCCATGACTTTTACTAAAAATACCCAAGACTAAAATGTAGCCTTAATCATAAGGAAGAACAGAAAAAAATGTCAAGAACTTTTCATAACATTTTACATCACAAATTAAAATAATGTGAGTTAAAAGCATCATGTTTGATAGACCCGGCCTGACTCCTCTGCCTTTCTTAGGTCAGCCCAAAGGTTCAGAATTTGCACACCTGCATTTTTAGTTTTACTGGGACCAGCTGAGCACATTAAACAAAACTAGGTCAGGGCCGTTTCCGGCCGAGAGTTCCCAAGTAACACCGGACCACTGAGGATGGTGGGGGAGGGCGTTTCCATTTGCAGGTGAAAAAAAAAAAAAAGGATATTTTTGCCTTCGGGGTGAATTAAACTTCCACTGCTGTAATGTCTCCTTTTAACATAACCTCTGAAGGGCGTTTTAAGAGCATCTGTTACAGTCGCTGTTTGTTAAATTAGCCAGGCAAGGTGAAATGTGGTTAATTATTCTTCAGGCCAGGATATGCAATTTTTTGAGTTAGTTATTGTGTGTGTGAAGGGAGAGGGAGGGAAGCTTCAAAGCACAGAATGAAAAGTCTCAATACCTCCTGCTAAAACTTGGCATTGAATCCCGTGCCCTTCCATTCAGGAGATAGCAATAAATTAATTTCTAATGGGCACAACAGCCTGGCATGTTTTTACCACTCATTGTGTTTTATTCCAGCCTGTGATAGGGGCCATTGATATGTTTGTAAATGGGCTTGTGTTATATTGGGATAACTGGACTCTAACATCTATCATAATTAACTCTAACGAAGAAAAACAAATATTCATTTTCTGTACAAAAGATGTCCAAAGGAGGATGGAAGGTGCAGGGGGTTAGTTCCATGATTCCATGATCAGGACTGCCTCTTTGTTGTATATTTGTACAGCACCTAGCACATGGGGCCCTGTCATCTACTGTAAAAATAAATAATAGTTAATTCCCCAGTCACCACGGCCCTTATTCTGAAATGTACAGTGCACAGGGGGACGACTGCATCCACACCGACGTCAGCAGGGCTCTACACAGGAACTGGGATGCACCCACATGTGGTACATTGCAGAATCAGGACCTAAATTTACAGCAGAACATTTGTCTTTGCTGCAGAATGGTTCTCCAGAATCGAAGTAGAAGCAGGTGCCATCCCCTACCTGCTCTCAAACACAGTGTGCATTCTGTACACAGGCTACTTCACCTCCTCCCTGGGATTTGGCTTTCTTAATACAAAACCTAGCAATAATATATTAATAAAGTTTAGCTCAAACCTTTCTGGCCTTGCCTTTTCTTAGGGATCCTCCCTCTGGACAGATGAGTCCACACCTTAGATCCTCCCTCTGTAGAGAGCTTCTCCTACTTCCCTGATATTTGAGTGGTAACAAATCACCTGCCTCTGAGTCAGCAGAACCCACTTAGCCCTTTCTCAGCCTAATCAACACTTGCTATCAAGACGAGGTGCCTCAGGCCAACGCTGCCAACCCGTTACACTAACCTTACATTTGTTATTTATATTTTTAAAAAGATTAGTTTCTAATTTTTTTTGGTTATAAAAACAACAGCAAACAACTCTTCCAAACATGGACCAAGAGTAAGCAATGCAGTGACCTATGCCCTAATCTGCAGACAGCATAAATCTGAAACCTAAAGACTGCAATTGGAATATCAACATTGCTAACTGTTTCATGGCTGGGATCAAAGCAGTGTTTAGGATTAAAGAACCAGCACAGGGCATAAAGGCAGGTGGATGAAGCACTCTTTGAATGTGAGTGACAGGGTGCAAAGCTGGCATTGCTGTGACATTTAGCTGTTTAAGGATACACTTGTCCGGCTTGTGAAAGCACTCAGGGAAACCTGCCTGACCTGTGTGGCAGCATTGTGTGATCTGAATCACAAGTTGGCACCCAGGTTTGTATCAGTGCTTGTTTGTTCCCCATCTCTTTCTTCATCCTTGCAGGCCTGAATCTCGAATCTGGACTGTGATGTTACTGCTTGGGACTTGTTTACTCTACTGTGCCAGGGTGACCATGCCTATCTGTGCTGTGGCCATGAGCAGTCACTTCGACTGGGACAAGAAACAGTCCGGCATTGTTCTGAGCAGCTTCTTCTGGGGCTACTGCTTAACTCAGATCATCGGAGGGCACCTCAGCGATCGGTACCAGAACTTTCTTATATTATCCCTTGCTCAGTTTTTGCAATAATTTTTTTTGGCAAAGTTACCAGGTATCTAACCTCCACCCCAAGGAGATGAGGACTGATAAACTATCTGTGAAGTACATCGATATCTCTGGAGGAAAAGCACCGTATGCCTGATCCAAAGTCCATTGAAGTCAATGGGAGTCTTTCCATTGACTTCAGTAAGTTTTGGATCAGGCCCTATGGCTCTGATCCAGCAAAGCACTTAAGCACGTGCCTAAACTTAAGTATGTGAGTAGTCCCCATTGGTTTCCAAGGGTATGTCTACACTACCTGCCAGTTCGGCGGGCAGCGATTGATCCAGCGGGGATCGATTTATCGCGTCTAGTATAGACGCGATAAATCGACCCCCGAGCCCTCTCCCGTCAACTCCTGTACTCCAGCGCTGCAAGAGGTGTGGGTGGAGTCGACAGGGGAGCGGCAGCAGTCGACTCACCGCAGTGAAGACACTGCGGTAAGTCGATCTAAGTACGTCGACTTCAGCTACGTTATTCACGTTCCATTCACGTAGCTGAAGCTGCGTAACTTAGATTGACCCCCCCCCCAGTGTAGACCAGGGCTAAGTTGGTACTGATCTTAAAGTTACACAAGTACTGAGGTGCTTTGCTGGAGTGTGGCCTATGTGCAGTTTAGGAATTACCTACATGCAAAAGTTGTAGTGTTTTAAACTATACCGGTATAGTTCAAGCTGTACAATCCCCACTAGTGTGGGTGCAGTTACATCAATAGGCGTTTGTATGAGTACCGTTTACCCCTGTATAGGAAGAGAAATAAGCTTGGCAAGTATAAGGCACCTTTATAATTGCATCCACGCTAGGGGTTGTACTGGTATAACTATTGCCATAAAGAATGACACCCCTAACCAAAATAGTTATATCAGTACAAAACTTGTGTGTAGACCAGGCCTTATTATTATGATCATTGCAATGCTCTTCCCATAGCCAGCATTAGCCAACTGCTCACATCAAGCACCATCTATTTATTAACAAAAGCTAAACACCGTCCTTGTGTGGATGGCAACTTTCAGACTGGTTATTCAAGCAATGAACAACCAGCCAGGGGCAACGTTCCCTGGTCTGCAGGGAAATCAACTCTTCGTTTCTTCGTCTCATCCGCGGAATTTGTTTTCTCTCTCTTCGTTCCATGCCCACGTTTCTAGGCAGTTCCTCCCGAGTTTATTCCCCTTTGCAGCCTCTAGTCGTGCTTGGGAAAAGCATGTGCTGCACAGTTTGATTGTATTAATTAAAAAAAAACAACCAAAAAATCCAGTCAGCTGTTTTGTGGAAACCCCAGTAATTACCTGCTTGCGTTCATCCCCCAGATTGCAGTGTCCTAAGGGGGCACGGCTTTCCTGTAAAATCTTGTGTAAGAAACACAGTCTCGGAGTCACACATTGTCTGTGCAGCGGGCTGTGCCATCGTATTGTGGTCTTTAATAGACTCTGCAAGCAAAGTGCACACAGGACACGAAAGGTTACAAGCAAGCAGAGCTAATGCTAAAGAGCGGATGGAACAGAAAATGCCATCATGCTTCGAGAAAAAGAGCACAGTGCTAACTGCTTGTTGTTAAAACTTCCCCTGCATCAGGGATTTTCTCAACTCCGAGCTCGTAACCAGCCTGCCCTTCCGCATTGCTGATTGGGAAGGGGATCCTGGCTATTTGGGATGAAGGTAGGCTCCCAGTATAGAAAAGGGGATCCCAGTACTGAACAGGCTGAGAACTACTGTACCCTCTCTGTTGTTTGTAAAACTTTCTCTGTTGCTTTAAAATCAGGTTTCTCTCCCGATGTCTCTGCCGATGTCACCCTCTTTTACCTGTGTTCACCTTGTGTTTCTAAGGTGGGCTTGTAATTAACACGCTCCTGCTTTTGTTTACTTCCCCAGGGGTGCCCGCGCGTCACTGAAGATGTAACTGTATGGACAGGTGGAATGGATAATCACTTTCCATCCCAAACAGTATGAATGTGGCTAGGATTCATCTCTCATCCCCACTGTCTGCTGCTGCTGGGGAGCAAGTGGGGATTTCCCTTGGGCACCCCTTCACTCTCAGTGCATTCTAGGGCCTCTCAGACATGCAGTTAAATGGTAGGACTGATGCCGTGTTCTGCTGCTACATGACGGTACAGGACACATGCAATTCTGGAGATGACTCCAGTTGAGATGGGGAAGGGTCTGCTTTGCTGCTCACCTCCCTGAAGGAAGCAGATGAAGGGTGCAGGTCAGCTGGCCATCCCTGAAGACATTTGTGGGTTGAGAAGGTCAGGTGGAGAGGCCTGGCTGACTTTCGTTATTAAACAGCTTGGAAGAGACGCCTGAAGTCCTGATTCCGAGTCCGTGCGCCAACCCCATACCCTACCCACAGTTCCCCTTTTACATAATTCATGCGTATCTTTCAGGATCGGAGGAGAAAAAGTCCTCCTCCTCTCTGCATCTGCCTGGGGTTTCATCACCGCCATCACTCCGCTGCTCACCTATATCAGCTCTGCCCACCTGATTTTCATGACAATAGCTCGATTCCTCATGGGACTACTGCAAGGTGAGACAAAAAATTGTGTGTGTGTTCGTTCCACCCAGGCTTATACTGCAACTCCATATATGATGGAGTCAAATGAAAGTCATAACTGCAAGGTGTAAATTGCAATGCTGGTTAGAGCAAGCTGTTTCTGAGCTGCCCCCACATCTGGAACTCCTGTTATAAAAACTGCTGTGGCTGGGTGCAGAGTTGAGACATTTGTCTCTGAGAAAGGTGCTGTCACTATAAAAAGCTTTAATCTCTGTGTCTGCCTCTGAAATGGCAAACGTGCTTCAAAGCACCTGCAATTTGACGGGTTCTTTCGCCTGAGCTATGATAATTTGGGATGATTTTCTCTTCCACTTGCTGAACTGCAAAAGCCTGGCAAGTGCTACCCAAAAGTTGGTTGAGGTGACTTTTTCTTGTTAACCGATAAGAAACTCTGGGTTATTTTCACTGTTTTGTTTCTGGGCTTCTGCCTCCATTGACTGGGTGCCTGATACATCATTATAAATAATTACATTTTTGTAAGCTACTAGGGCAACATAGCTTCTCAGTGAGGGCCTTTTCTCCTGCTTCCTCCTTTCCCCCCCGTCTTTCTTTGTGCTCCTCCTTTTCGATGTAAGAGTTTATTATTTCGGGGCCACATGTCTACCAAGGACTAGATTAACACTAGGTAGCATCCATTCCAGTTTTAACCAGGTACAAATTAGCCCGTATTTTAATCACTGCAACAGCTGACCCATTCTAGAATTCAGCTCTTCCCTGCCCCCCACCCTGGGAGTTTTACATCCTCTCCACATCTGTCTCCATAGTGTCATGAATGCCAACCCCCCACTGAAACCATCTGGTGCCATTACTATGTAAAATCTTGGGATGCTATCCCATGTGACCCTGCCACTCAGCAGAGCACATGATGTTGTCATCACCAGAACCAGGATGAATCACTCACTTCGCCATAAGAAAAAGCTGGCAACTATTTAATAAGGATTAAAAGTTACTAAAGCTTTTTCAACCCTGGGGGAGAAAAAGGACCAGTTTTGGTGTGGCTCAGCTATTGTATAGCGGTGGAGTGCTGGCCTGGTGGTTAAGGTTCCCCGACCTGGGAGTCAGGAGAGCTGGGGTCAGTTCCCAGCTCTGCTCAGACTCCTTGTGTAATTTTTAGCAAGTCACTGAATTTGTCTGTGCCTCAGTTCCCCAGCTGTAAAATGGGGATAACGGCCCTGCTCTATCGCACTGGAAGTTGTGAGGATAAATGCATCCACACTTAGGAGGGGCTCAAATATTACAGTAAAGGGGGGCAATGGCAGCAGATACAGAGAAGGCACAAATGAGCTTCCAAATGGCCATGTGGTATATCAAGGGGAGCAGTGGGCTGCCATAAGTCATACTGGTGTGTGACACCGTGAGGTCATTGCTTTGTTGACTCGTTTTGGCATTTATCTATCGTTGGATTTGAGTCAAACACGCTCACACGCGAGTGCAAGTTTGACTGATGTGTACCCTGACTGGCAATGGCTGACTCTTTCATTTCCATTGTTGTTAGGAGTGTACTTCCCTGCCTTGGCCAGCCTCTTTTCTCAGAAGGTCCGTGAGAGTGAGCGAGCTTTCACGTGCAGCACAGTAGGGACTGGCTCTCAGTTTGGGTAAGTTCCCATTGGCTTTGGGTGGTGAGTGACAGAGTCTCAGAGGGATGCCATAGGTCAGGAGATAAAGTGCCATTAAACTTCTATAGGCAAAAACACCAACCCTCAAAGTACATCTGGAACACTGGATCCTGTAGGGTATCCGTTCCAGTTGAAGAAGGCTCAGACAGTTGCTATAGAATATACACACTCATTACTGAAGTCTTTGAGCCTCTCAGAGTTGGTAAGACAACTCCCACCTTTTCATGCTCTCCGTATGTGTGTATATATATCTCCTCAATATATGTTCCATTCTATGCATCCAAAGAAGTGAGCTGTAGCCCACGAAAGCTTATGCTCAAATAAATTTGTTAGTCTCTAAGGTGCCACAAGTACTCCTGTTCTTTTTGCGGATACAGACTAACACGGCTGCTACTCTGAAACCTCTCTCAAGTGTGTTGAGGATTAAAGGGATTTTATCTTTTCTTTTGAGTAAGCGGCTTGAAGGAGTTGCTATTACATTTGGTTTCCAACAGGAGGTGGCATGGTCCAGCAGGAAGAGCAAGACAGGCCATCTAGGGTCCTGAATTCTATTTCTGACCCTTCCACTGACTTGCTGCGTGACCATGGGCACGTCACTTAACCTCCCTGTGCCTCAGTTTCTCTCTCCGTTAAATGGGGATTAATAATACTTTCCCACCTTTGTAAAGTTCTTGGAGAACCTCTGATAGAAACGGCTATAGAGCTGCAAAGCAGCAGTAGTATTTTATGCACCATATCTATTCCTGTGACTTTCTTTTGCGGACAGACGTATTCCGGGATATAAATGGTGATCTTGCTGGAAGGACTAAGGGTATGTCTACACAGCAATTAAACACCCACGGCTGGCCCCAGTCAGCTGACTTGGGCTTATGGAGCTCAGGCTGCAGGGCCATAAAATTGTATTGTAGACATCCAGGCTTGGGCTGGAGCTTGAGCCAAAATGTCTACACTGCAGTTTTACAGCCCCGCAAGCCCGAGTCAGCTGACACAAGCCAGTCACAGCTGCTTAATTGCTGTGTAGACATACCTAAGTGGGCTAAGGGTTCTTTCCCTGCTAAAATGTCCTTGTGTCAGTGCCTACAATCAGAGTGTACCTCAGAATGCTCTGTGGCATCCTTTCATTGGCAGGTATTTCAGACATCAGTAGGAAACAAAGGCCTAGATTTGCGACTGGTGTAAACTGACCATGGTCCAACAACTTCAGTAGAACTACGCTGACTTACACCAGCTGAGGATTTGACCCAAAGTGTCAAATTAAGAAATAGAGCAGGTTCTTCTCCAGTGCCGTAGCAATAGAATGGTCTATAGTACAGTGGAGTGGTTTTTAATAACCGGGCATCCTCTCCTCAGGTAGGAAATGACTAGCCAATGCAAATGTTTGATAAGATGAACAGCTCTTGAGGGCTGGATAAATAACATCCAATAAACCATAGTGTTGACTCCTTACCGGTGACACATGGATTGTGAGTTTGCCCAAAGAACACTCCGATCAGTCTCATAATCTCTCTGGTTTTTCTTTCCAGGACGCTGGTGATTGGTGGGGCAGGGTCCCTCCTTCTGGACTGGTATGGCTGGGAAAGTGTCTTCTATTTCTCTGGATTACTCACTTTGCTCTGGGTTTACTGCATGTGCAAATACCTCCTGAATGAAAAAGGTAACCCCCCACCCTATTCATTCCTACTAGCAATAGCTGTTCATGAGGCTGTGCAGTGGAGATGACAGGAAAGTGATGTATGGCAATTGTTAACCCTGGGGCAAACGACAGGTGGCACTACCACCTCCTCCTCTGGCTGGATTCTGAGTGGCACCCGACCTGCTAGGCCGCCTCTGAGCAAACCTACTGGATCAGCCCCACATGTGACTTAGGTGTCCAAAAGCCTGGCTCTTCCTGGTTTGTGAATCTCTTTGGGGCTTAGGCAGAAACGTAGGTGCGTAGAGAACTTTTACTGCAAAAACTTGGGTGCTGAGTGAGCTTAGGCGCCTACAGGGTTTGGCAGGAGATTCATGGATGGCAGTGGAGCCAGAACTGGGACTTAGGTCCTTAAGCCTCAGACTTGGGCACCTAAGTCTGGGCTTTAGGCACCTAAGTACCTTCATGGATTGCAGACTAGCTGTTGTTAATTTTTTTGTAGGCTTTACAGAAAATGAGACTTTTAAGGAGGATCTTGAAGGAGCATAATTAGGTGGTTTTGGGATGTTTTCGGGGAGCCAGAAGCCCCAGAAGCTCCCTAGAAGTGGGGGGAGGGCACCGGCACCTGAACCATGATCCTACCCCTGCTCCACCTCTTCCCCTGAGTCCCTGCCCTCACTCCACCTCGTCCCCTGAAGCCCCGCCCTCGCTCTGCCTCTTCCCCCAAGGCTCCACCCCCACTTGCTCCTCTCCGCCCCCTCCTCCCCGTCGCTTGCCCTTAAGGCAGGTAAAAAGTGAAGGGGCCATGGCCCCCTGACCCTGCCGTTCCAGCGCCCCTGTGCGGAGTGTAAGGGACAGCATGGGAGAAGCACAAAGGTGCTTGTTTGAAAATGTATCAACTGAGCAATGGAGGCAGGCAGGAGTCGACACTGAAGGAGAGATGATAGGTAGGGTGGGGGATAGGCCATTAAGGGACTTGAAAGTGAAGACAAGTAGCCCATGTTTGATGCAATAGAGAAGGGGAACCAGTGGAGGGAAGCAAAGAGAAGGGTGACGTGGGCAAAGTGATGGGCTAGGAAAATGATCTTTGCAACAGCCTTCTGAGTGGATGTGAGCAGGGTAAGGTTGCATTTGTCAAGGCCAGTGGCAGTAATTGAGACCGCACCAGGGTCCTTTCAGGACAGAGGTTCAGCATTAACTCTTGATTTGCTGTGTCTGGAGGCGTGCGTGTGTGTGTGTGTGTGTGCATGGGGTGAGGGTTTGGAGGAAGTTCAGTTAGAACACCACCGCTACTTAAAGTAGTTTTTATGGTTTAATGCAGGGGTCGGCAACGTTCGGCACGCGGCTTGCCAGTGTAAGCACCCTGGCGAGCCGCGTGCTGAACGTTGCCGACCCCTGGCATAGATGGTCCAGGGTTATCCTTCTGAATGCACATTTTAAGCAGTTCTTAAACCATGTGGTTAAGCCCTAGGATAAAACAGATCCAATGTGTCTGTATAGACTATTGGAAAACATAGCTTTGATTTGATATATTTATATATTTCTTTTCTGCAGAACTCATCATTCGCTTAGAACATTTAGCAAAGGGCCTCTCGTTATCCAAACAGACCAAAGTTCCCTGGAAGCAGTTATTTAAAAAGGCCCCTATCTGGTGAGTAAATGTCATGGCCATGTGTGTTGTGCATGTCAGCACCTCTCTCATGCAGAATCTGGTTTTCTTGTTGCTTCACCATCCTTCCATTCTGAAGCCTTTGTGTCTTGCTCCTGGAGTTAACTACCACCATGCATTTCCAAACTAGGTCAGCCGGGGGCAGAATGGTGGGTCTTTCCAAGGTTGCTATTTTTATTTAATATCTATTTATTTATTTATGAATTTTTAACAGGTTTACAAATCATTGCCACGTAAATATCCGAATCAAAACAATAATCATTACACCAATGAGCTTATCACTAGGCAGTAAATTAATCATCATCATTTAGCAGGGTATTACCTTATTACAGGTGAGTCTCTTTACACCATCCCATCCTCTGTGAATTATATTTGTCTGTGGCTCTGTTTTACAAGCAGTGCTTCAAACAGTCCGGGACATAATGCCACATTCTGTATTTAGAGAGACAAGGTGGGGGCAGGAATATATTTTATTGGACCAACTTCTGTTGGTGAGAGAGACAAGCTTTCGAACTACACAGAGCTCTTCTTCAGGTTTTTCCAAGACCTGTGACTCGAAAGCTTATCACTGTCACCAACAGAACTTGGTCCAATAAAAGATATTACTTCCCCAACCTGCATTTGTTGCTCAGAGGACACTGGGTGCTGTAATCTTTGCTCTCGTTGCAGAGAGAGACAACCAAAAAATGCCCTTTTAATTGTCACTTTGACTTAATAAACTATCTCAGGAGACATTACATCCTCCTAGTTTAGGGTTCTGGTTTTAACACTGTTCAGCCCAGAGCAAGGGAATGTTTTTGTATTGCTCAACACATCTGCCTTGTGGCCATTTAAGGAAAGACAGTGACAAGGTCTGAGGGAAAATGGCCATGGCTTTAAAGACAATAAGGTGATAGGTGGGGAAATGGGCAGTATTCTGGAAAGGGTGCTGAGGATGCACTGGTAAGAATGAAGCTATATTAATTATAATGTGGGCGTAACATGAAGCTAGTAATTCTCCCTGGTACGCTTGCATTGCAGTGTCCTGTCAGATATGGTTCTGTTCAAAACCGCCTGTGTTACTGTTTCAATGTCCACACCACCCCAGCTAGTATACTAGATTAAATCAGTTGCTTATAATAGATGGAGATATTCTATCTCCTAGAACTGGAAGGGACCCTGAAAGGTCATCAAGTCCAGCCCTCTGCCTTCACTAGCAGGACCAAGTACTGATTTTGCCCCAGATCCCTAAGTGGCCCCCTCAAGGATTGAACTCACAACCCTGGGTTTAGCAGGCCAATGCTCAAACCACTGAGCTATCCCTCCCCCACCACTGAGCTATCCCTCCCCCAGCATATTATCGCTAATATCTGGGCTTGAATGGACATGTTTGCCCGACAGACATTTAGCAGGACCTAAACAAAATCCCAAGGAAGGGTACAAGTCCTGCTGTAAGTAAGGAGCTGATGGGATTTTTCATACTGAGATGCACTCCACGAGTATGACGGTTATCAGCACGGATTGTATCATAAGTTATCAAGATATCAAGGCCCCATGCAGAGCTGCCTATGGTGAAAGCATCATGGGAATGTGCTGGTGCATTGCTCTCTCCTCTTGCTCTGGCAGTCAGGTGGGGTTAGGTATCTCCAATAAATCGCAGGAAGTGGCTTCAGTGCTATAGAGGGTTTATTTATATGCCTGACACCACTGCCTTGAAGTAGTGGGTAGCTAGAATCCCCTCTTTTGTTATCCAATGTGATCTGTCATCTTGATTGATTCTTTTTCCCATTGTATATTTACAGGGCTGTCATAGTAGCTCAGCTTTCTACGGGCAGCACATTTTTCACCCTCCTCTCCTGGTTGCCAACTTTCTTTAAGGACACGTTTCCCGAGTCTAAGGTAGGCCGATACCACAGCAAAGCGGAGACTCTGAAAGCTCAGTACCAACAAACAGCTGTAGTATTTTCCGTGTGTTTACATAGCTCCCGTTAACATTGGGAAGCTTTGCAGTGACTTCAGCGGGCTCTGGATCGGGCCTGAAGAGAACGGTTCTTTCGGCATCTGAGCCAATAACACTAGGAGGTTGATTTTAGTTCCCTTCGCCCCCACATTTGATTTTGATTGGTCTAGTCCTTCCGCATTGTTCTGACAGGGTCACTCACATTTTGTCGCTTGCCCCGTCTTGCCGCAAGGTCCCCGCTGAGAATATGTCAGGGAGCAACACTCTCGTCGCTCCATAATGTCAAGCTCTTGAGAAGAAGCCGCTCCTGCACTGTCCAAGGCCTCCTTTGTAGCCCATGAGATCTAATGCAACTCCCCCAAAACACACAGCTGGTAACTGGGCCACAGATTTTGGATGAGTCAGGAAGACGGTGTCAGTATAGGAGAAAAGCTTTTTCTTGGGATCAAGCATAGCTGAGAGGGAGAGAAGGGGGAAGGAGGAGGAATGATTTCTGCCCCATATGGATGTGCTGTATACATGGTGGTGGCCTGTTGCCTTTACCCCTGATTCTTACGTGAAGGTGTTGGCAAGCAGGGAGTATATGCTTGATATATGCAGGAGTCCAGCTATTTAATAATAGGGGAATAGAAACTTGTACCTCCCACACGTCCCTTCTAAAACAAAGCTACAAATATAGGCCCTGATCCATGCCATCAAATCCCCGCCCCCCCCCCTTGCACCTGCACATTGACATCACAGGATCTGATTGCAGGATCTGGCCATATTGTTCAACTATCCAAATGCACCAGCAGTGCCAAGGAATAGCATTGCCTGCTCTGATCCTTTCCAGTAGTGTCAACATGCTGCTCTTCCCCCCCATCAGCAGCTCCCCGTCATGAATCCCTTTCTCACAGAATTCTGTGTGGTCTCTAGGCTGCTCCGTTGTGTGGGTGAGGATGGCACAGAGCTCATCGCTGCAAGCAATTTCAGACAACCACCATGGGGCTTTGTTACTGTACTGGCATAACTGAGCTTAGAGGCGTGATATGGTTAGTTGTTACAATGCTACAAATTTTAATTACTAATTAATATACATTTTTTATTTGCAAAGCTCTGAAGAAAGGCCTCTCTCCGCAAATAAATCGCCCGTTTTTCTGAAACTTGGTTAAAATTCTTCCGGGCTGAGATCTTGTATTTTTACAATTCATTCTGCCCACAGAAATCCCGAGATTGCCTTTTCTATGGTGGCTCTGTCGTGTGTTCCTGGAATTTCCCAGAGCCCCTTACATTTATTACATGAACGAGGGGCTTTACTTGACATACTTGATATTTATATTAAAATCATGTATTAAACCAGCAAACATATTGTTATAACAAGATTTGCAGCACCTCTTGTAATACGCTTGGGTAGCGGTGATTTGGTAATTTAGCCATCTGTTACATATTTAATTCCTGTGCCCTTATGTAAGATGCTCTATATAATATTCCTGCATCTGGCCACTGCTTCATAAATATTAATATTGGATTCATTCGATGTAAATTGAAAGGGTTGACAATCCTTAATGTGGTAAAACTATGTCACCTACTGGCCAAACATACATGCTGCAGGTGAGTTGTTTTTCTCCCTCTGCTAATGTCCAATTCAATGAAGAGAATCCTGCACCTTTGGCCCAGGCCGTGAAGTGTGCTATGATTTGAAAAGGGACCCTATAAAATAACTATGTGGCATTGTTATATGCCCTTATGTTTTTCTTGTATATTTTGGGCAACAAGCGTAGAAGTGCTGAGCGAGAACAGCTCCAGCTGGCATCATTGGGAGCTGCAAGTGTTCCGCTCTTCTGAAAATCAAGCTCTCGTTTTGCAAACTGCCAATGCAATTTAGGAGCCTAAGTTCCTTTTTCAAACGTGACTAAGGGCTAGATTTTCAAAGGTATTTAGGTTCCTAACAATGCAGATATGTGCTTAGTGAGGTTGACAACAGCATCTGAACAGGTTAGGTTCCTAACACCCATTGAAGTCAGTTAGGGGCTTAACCTCTTTTGGTGCTTTTGAAAATCCCACTGGACACCTAAATACCTCTGAAAATCTGACTCTGTCTCACTGAAATCCAGTGGGATATAGACTCCTACGTTACTTCGGTGCTTTTGAAAATGTTTCCGTTAGTCGTCTTCAGTTACATCCATAACACATTTTCTCAGTTGAAAAGACAAAGCAAGATTTTCCTCTTTACCAGTCTTGAAAGCTCAACCCTGGCATCAGAAAACCCAGCTGTGTTCCCTCAGCTGCATAGAAATGCTAGCTAATAATATAGCAGCTGAAGTCTGAATTTAGTCTGCAGTTTTGCTGGTGACCCATGAGGCTGGATAGAATACACAGTTTGCATATTGGCTCTGTGCTGCAGAATCTTGTTTGCCAGTAAACTCTGCCACTTTTAATCCTTCCTTATTGCTGTAGAGAGAAATTTCTGCCACTCTGTCATGGGTGTAAAGCCAGTCAGACTTTATGGTCTTTAACAATTCACTTATTTATATAGCACCTTGTGTGCATGTACATTACAGACCTCAGGCCCCATCCTGGAATGCACCAGAACGCTGTAGCGCATTGGGTAGAGTGTTGTGAGAAAGTGGCTTAAAGCTCCTATGTTAGGTGAGCAAAAGCACCAGGAAAGGGTAAACCCTAATGTCCCGTGGGATGCCCCCGCAGTATAAAATCCATTAGCTGCAAACAAACCCTGCTCTATTAGCAGGATGTGAACGTTGCTTCTCTTCACTTTTCCTGTGAGGATTTTTCTCCCTTTCAGGGCTGGGTGTTTAACGTAGTGCCATGGCTGGTTGCAATCCCAACAAGTTTGTTTAGTGGATTCCTGTCTGATCACCTGATCAATCAGGGTAAGAGATCCTTGGGTTGTTCATCCGCTCTGTCTTTTCAGAATGCAAAGAAAAGACTGGATGGGAGGAGACGGGTTTGGTGGGAGAAAGGGGAAGCTGAGCTTCTGGCCTGGAACTTGGATAAATACTGGCCTCTACATATTTGTAACGCCCTTTGGGGTTGTCTACACTGGAACTTCATCGGCAACACTTTTGTCATTTTGTCAACAAAAGTTTTACCGACAAAAAGCGCCGGTGTGAACAGCGCTTTGTCGACAAAGCCACTGCCGCTCGTGGGGGGTGGAAGCTTTTTGTCGGCAGGAGAGCTCTCTCCTGCCAACAAACAGCAGCTAAAAGCCTCATAGCGTAGCCATACCCTTTGTCTTGTATGGGAGTTGTAAGTTCTATCTGAGAACAGAATCTGACCCTGTGTGTTAAGTTTACCTTATACTCACTCTCCTGACATGAGCCCAAACTATGGGTGTTGAACTCTTCTAGACTGAAACATTAGTCCCAGCTTCATTGAGAGGGGTCTAGTTTAAATACCTCCAATTGTCTTCCTTTTCCCTTTCAGGCTATAAAACGATCACCGTTCGTAAGTTCATGCAGGTAAGAAAACGAAAGCCTGTGAGTGAAACATCAGTTATCTGTTAGCGCCGATTTTGCGTGTTAGTCTAACAGTGGAAATCAGATTCGAGTTCTTGGGAAGCTTCACTCATGATCTTGGTTACAAAAAAAGAGCTTTTATAGATAGGCAGATAGCTGGTAACCAGCATCCATGGGAAGGATACAGAGAAAGGCCATGACCTTTTCACTGGGCTTTGACAAACCATTACATTTTAACAGTTTGTCTGGGAGTGGCGATTTTGTGAGCGATATGGAGGGATTTTGTCAGCCCCGCAGAGCAAGCGTGTTCTTTCACGCCGAATCACTCTTCAGATTTTAGATGAAGGGAAACAGCAAAAGAATGAACAAGAATAAAATCCCCGTGCGAGAGCAGCGCATCCCTTCTGTAGAACAGCGGCTCCCCAACATTTTACTAAGGTGGCTCCCCAACTGCGTTTGGTCTCTTATGGGGAGCCCCTGTTATATAGAGATGTACAGAAACGACTATTTCTAAAATCCTGTGAGTGTACAACAACAATTCTGGGTTTGTTCTCAGCCTTCTGCTCCCCAGCCCCCTTCTCAGCCCCTGCTCTCCCCTCACTAGCGTGGCCAAAACCCCTGCTCAGCTCCCCCCAGCCCCTTGCTCTCACGCTCCCAGCTCTGCCCCCTGCTGCATCTAGTCAGCCCTTCTCTCCCTACAACCAGGCCGCAGTCGCTATCAGCCAGCTCACTGGCTCCAGCTGCTTCCTCCGCACTGCTGCTGCCTGGATCCCGCTCCCCATGCTGCTGCCTGCTTCCCCGGCCAGGCAGAAAAGAGCACTGGGGGAGGGGGGGAGTGGCATGAGGGGGCAGTGACTGGCAACCCATCTAGACCCTTCCCACGACCCACTAGTGCACGGGTAGTCAATAGGCGGACCGTGGGCCAAATCCGGACCACTTTTGAACGGACCCCGATATCTTTTCATTTACTTATTATCATTATTGTTGGGTTATTTATTATTTTCTCTGGAGGCTGGACCTTGACTATATCATTGACCAAGAAATTTGGACCGTGACAAAAAGTAATTGACTACCCCTGCACTAGTGGGTCAGGACCTACGTTCCCTCTAAGCTGCGCGGCTGCCTATTAAACCCCACACATGGGCTCAGGGCTGCGGTGGGGAGAGGCAGCCCTCCCCGCAGGACCCAGCACGGACCTGCCCCAGAGCTGCTGTGGCCGGGGAGAGGCGCCTCTTCCCCGGCCCCGAGCTGCTGCGGTGAGAGAGGGCTGGGGAAGCCTGCAGCCCAAACCCCTCATCCCTGGCCTCACCCCAAAGCAGCGGCGTATTATTGCCTAGGCCGACAAGGCCTAGGCCTAGGGCGGCAAATTTGCAGGGGCGGCAAATTTGAGCACCCACGGAGAAGCTCCCCTCCCCCCAGAGCCCACACACTCCCTGCACTCCAACCCTCTGCTGCAGCCCTGAGCCCCATTCCCACAGTCTGAACCCCTCGGCCCCACCCCCACCGCATTCATGTTGTTATCTACACCAATACGAAGGTGATGTATCACACATCACCTCCATATTGGTGCACATAACAAAATTCATTCCGCACATGGATGTAAGCAATGAGAGGGAACACTGGTCAGGACCCATCATTTGGGAAATGCTGCTCTATAACATGCTCCATTGCCTCCTCCTCACAAAAGGGCACTCGTCTGTGCCCATAGGCCGTCGCCTTAGGAAAGTGAAGGTGCCATGCAGAGGAAAGCAAGTCGTAAAAACCACCCAGCTCTGTGTACAGAACCATCATGAGCCCTCCGTATTTCAAAAAGGGACAGCCCGTCTGCAATAGGAGCTACTTTTGTTCACTGCAACTCGCTGTGAATCTGTTGCGGATGTCATTAATTTTCTTTTTCCTTCAGGTCATCGGATCAGGCGTATCAAGCATTTTTGCCTTGTGCATGGGTCAGACATCCAGTTTTTGCAAAGCTATAGTATTTGCATCTGTCTCAATTGGACTTCAGACCTTTAACCACAGGTAATAATCATCATCATCATCATCATAGGAGTAACGCATAGCTCTGATAGAGTACTTTTCAGGAGGCAGATGTCATTATCCCCACTGGGGAAACCGAGGCACAAAGAGATTAAGTGACTTGCCCAACGTCACCCACCTGGCCAATGGGAGAGCCAAGAATAGAACCCAGGTTTTCTGAGGCTTAGCCTAGTGCCCCGTTCAATAGGCCATGCTGCCTTCATAGAGGCAGTTTATGTCAAACACCTAGCAGACAACTTGAACCAATGTTTTATTTGTTACATGTGAAGAGTTCTAATCTAAGATCGAAGGCTTGAGGATTTATCCAGGCTTTATTGAGCAATGACTGTACATAAAGATGAAGGGTCCAGAACATGAACACTGTAAGTGTCAATAACTCAAGACAGTCAACTAAATCCTTGTAAAAACCCACTGTTGGGAAATATTAAATATATGACACGATTCAAATTCAAGGATTTCTCTCACCACCTTCCCACTATCTCAGCTTAGTCTTGAAACAGCCCAGCACAGGGCCAGACTGGGGATAATGGATGAATACGCTGCTTAGCAGATGGGGCAGCCAGGTTGCTGCAGATCATGTCTGAGATGCATTATGAGGTTTGCACGAGAAGAGCTTCCACAGCACCTTCCATGCCAGCCTCTAGCAAAGTCATTGGCAAATTCACCCCATGATTTTTAAACTGTTATTTACTTCGGTCTTATTGTCCACTTAGAACTGGGGATTTCTTCCCAATTTTAGCACAACTGTTTGTTTGGTTTTCTTTCTGCCTCTAAATTTGAGTTATCATAGAAGCAAAGAAAGGCAGAAGAACCTATGGCTAGAAGTTAAAGCCAGACAAATTCAAATGAGAAATAAGGCACTTTTTTTTTTTTTTAACAGTGAGGGTTGTTAACCATTGGAACTAACTACCAAGGGGAGTGGTGGATTCCCCATCTCTTGATGGCTTCAGTTCAAGATGGGATGCCTTTCTGGAAGGCATGCTTTAGTCAAACACAAGTTACTGGACTCCATACAGGAGTAACTGGGTGATATTCTACGGCCTGTGACATGCAGGAGGATGATGTAATGCAGGGGTTCTAAACCTTTTTCTTTCTAACCCCCCACTCCCACAACATGATATAAAAACTCCAGGGCCCAGCAGCAGGGGAAGGGAAGGGGACGCTCTGGGCTTCAACCGTTGGGCTGGGGTGCGGGGGAGGAGCTTGGGGCTTATGCCCTGCGGAGTGGCAAAGCTCCTGGCTTCAGCTGTGGGGAGGGGAGCCATGGGGCTTTAGCCTCATGGGGATGGGTGTCACCAGGGCTCAGGGCTTCAGGGCTCAGGGCTTCAGCCCCATGGGGGGCCGGGGGAGATGCTGGGGCTTGGGACTTCTGCCCAGAAGGAGGATAGACTAGATGATCTAATGGTTCCTTCTTGCCTTAAAAGCTATTAATCGAAGCATCAGATTTTGGTCACTGCAGGATGTTGGGCTTCATAGACCAGTGGGTCTGAACTGGTACAGCAACACCAAGTCCTAGTCTAGCAGGGGAAAGTGTCTTAGGTCTACACTACAGGGGGCGGCGGGGGTGTCGACCTAAGATACGCAACTTCAGCTATGTGAATAGCGTAGCTGAAGTTGCGTATTTTAGGTCGATTTACCTGACTGTGAGGACGGTGGCGAGTCGACCGCTGCCGCTCCGCCGTCGACTCCGCTTCCGCCTCTTGCCACGGTAGATTTCCGGAGTCGACGGCAGAGCGATCAGGGATCGATTTTATCGCGTCTTCACTAGACACGATAAGTCGATCCCCAATAGATCGATTGCTACCCGCCGATCCGATCCTTAGTCTCGCCACAGTGAAACTGGCACGTTCTAGCAGGCTAATGATGGACGCACCAAAGAGAATTCAAATTTCATTCTGGCCCCACCTAACACTTTATAAATGCAACTGCAGCCGTCTAAGCACCACTGTATCTATTGTACTTTTCCGCTAATACTGAAGCTCTTTGCTTCTTATTTTGAAGTCTTCCCATTCAGTTATTTTCCCATCTTGGTTCAATTTCAACCATATTTTGGTTCCCAGTTCCCTCCTTCTTCTCCCCATGGGGTTGGTTCAGATTGGTTCCCTTCATTGAACAACAGCATGCTTTATCTCGTGTAAATTCTGAAAAACAGTCAAAACCTGTTTAAAATAAAAAGCCTTTAATTTTTCTTCTCTTTGTGAATAGTGGCATTTCAGTCAACGTACAGGATCTGGCTCCATCGTGTGCTGGCTTGTTGTTTGGTAAGGGGGCATTTTTAACAATTTTTATTTGCACAGAAAATATACCTATGTCTGGGGAATAATTCCCAGGGAACTACATGTAAACACAAGTAGCTGAGGGCAGAATGTGGCTCAGTCCAGGCAGCCTTTTGACTTTACTAGGGTTGCAGAGATGTAACAGAAGGTAGAGATTGCTAATATCCATGACATCTGCATGTCAGAGAGAAATTTAAAAAGGGCTAGATTGTGCCCAAATGCGCTGTGGGTGCTTATGAAAATAGGGCCCTACCAAATTCATGGTCCAGTTTGGTCTATTTCATGGTCATAGGATTTAAAAAATTGTAAATTTCATGATTTCAGCTATTTAAATCTGAAATTTCACGGTGGTGTAACTGTAGGGGGTCCTGACCCAAAAAGGAGTTGTGTGTGGGGGGGTCACAATGTTATTGTCGGGGGGATTGTGGTACAGCTACTCTTACTTCTGCGCTGCTGCTGGGCGGTGCTGCCTTCAGAGCTGGGCAACTGAAGAGCGGCAGCTGCTGGCCAGGAGCCCAGCTCTGAAGGCAGAGCCGCTGCCAGCAGTAGTGCAGAAGTAAGGATGGCCTGGCGTGGTATTTCCACCCCTTCTTCTGCGCTGCTGCTGGCAGGGCACGGCCTTCAGAGCTGGGCTCCCGGCCAGCAGCTGCCGCTCTCCGGCTGCCCAACTCTGAAGGCAGCACCACCGCCAGCAGCAGCGCAGAAATAAGAGTAGCACTACCACAACCTCCCCTACAATAACATTGTGACCCCCCCCTGCAACTCCCTTTTGGGTCAGGACCCCCAATTTGAGAAACGCTGGTCTCCCCCATGAAATCTGTATAATATAGGGTACAAGCACACAAAAGACCAGTTTTCTCAGTCTGTGACGCGTTTTTCATGGCCATGAATTTGGTAGGGCCCTACTTATGAAACGGAGTGGCTTTATGGGTGCATAGGGAGTGTGCAAGGAGTCCTCTCTCCTACACAGCAGCCAGACTCGCGTGCAGTCTCTGCATCCCCCTGGGAGAGCAAGACATCCTGAAGGGGGATGGGGAGGAGGTGGACCCTGCCCTGCACACACTGGACAGCTGAGCTACTTAGGTGCACCTTAGGGAAAGTATATGCCGGACTGCCTGAAAGGGTAGCAGTGGATAAGCTCTTTCTGTGAGCTCTGGGAGGAAGTCTACTTCCCAGAACTCTCCCTCGTTCTACCCCGTGGGTAGCTGCAGCTCTACCCTGACACCCACACAGTGGGGCTGTGTCTAACCAGCATGAGCGAACCCAAAGCGAGTGAAAAGTCTTGGGAGTAACACTGGACACATTCAGAGCTAGATTGTCAACCCTCAGCCTCTCCCTGTGCTTATTCATGTGCTTTCACCTGCCCTCGGCAGGTGCAAATAATTGCACGCGCATGCCCTTTAACGAGTCTAAGGCTTGTGCACACACAGGAGTCAGGCTATCGAAAGGGCGCATGTGAGTGTTGAAATTTCCAGATTCCTACCAAGTATCTTATGGTTAGAAGCATTGTGTGCAAATTGGTGTGATGCAGTGGTTTCCTTCTTCTCTTTACAGGCATTGGAAATACAGGTGGAGCCCTATTAGGTAAGGGATTTTCCTGGAATTGTCCCTCATTTGGGGGATCCTCCGGCTGAGCTGACATTACAGGGCGAGGCCCTGGCCAAGTTCTATTTGATTCATTTCTGCTCTCTCTCTCTGTACACAGGTGTCGTTTGTGTGTATTTAGCCGGTCATCTGATTGAAACCACTGGTTCTTGGGTTTCTGTTTTCAACCTTGTGGCTACAGTTAATGCCCTGGGGCTCTGTACATTCCTGATCTTTGGAGAGGCCCAAAGGATGGACACAGACTCTGCATACATAGATCTATAGTCGCTGTAAAGATGAGTTCAGCAAATGAAATCTGTTGAAGGGTTTAGGACTGTAATTTCTATTGATAGCTGTTGTGCAAATGGTTGTTTGCAGAAGAGAATATTATTATTTTGTAGAATTTAAATAGAAAAAAATCTATTGAGAGAATATTACGGGCCTGAACTAAACCCAGAGGAGGGAGGAAATCCAGAGTTAAAACTTTGCTCAGGGGATGGCTGATGAGTTATAGAGCCTTTCAGCTCTAGGTCACCAGTTTGAATTTGTAGCAGAGGGGTAGCCGTGTTAGTCTAGATCTGTAAAAGCGGCAAAGAGTCCTGTGGCACCTTATAGACTAACAGATGTATTGGAGCATAAGCTTTCGTGGGTGAATACCCACTTCGTCGGATGAAGTGGGTATTCACCCATGAAAGCTTATGCTCCAATACGTCTGTTAGTCTATAAGGTGCCACAGGACTCTTTGCCGCAGTTTGAATTTGAATTCACTAGTGCCTGAACGAAGCAGCTCATGGCCTATGTGAAATCAGTTGGTACCTCCAGTCAAGTTCCTAGTGCAGGAAATGCCATCCCAGATGACACTAAATGGTACCTTAGCTGAGAGTCTCGGCAGAGATGCCAAGGACTGAACGGCTCATAGAGAGTGAACTCCTCTTTCATCCTGAGAGATGCTCCCTCCGGGACAGAGATGAGACATCTGAGCATGCATTGCAGGTGTCCATGTTCTACCTGTTCTGTGGCTGAGAAGATCACTCCCCTCTCCAGGGCTGTCAATCAGTTCTTTTCATCAACACTAAATGAACTTAATAATACCAAGGACTGTCCTTAACTTGCCCTTTTGTGCCTCAGTATTGCCATATATATAACAGGTACAATCAGGGTGTACAAAGGAATGGGTTCAGAGTTGTTTTGCCATATACTGTGAATGTATATGAAGGGTGGCTCACATTCTGCACTATGGATCCATAATATCAAGTGTTTTCTGCTTCACCCAGTATGCATTGAAAGGAATGCAGGAGACATTCGAAAGAGCCTGAAAAATGCGTGTTATGTATTTACATTAATTATAGGGCTTGTTTCTGCGTTATGGATCCATACTGCTGAATGCTCACCAAAGGAGTTACCATGCCGCTGCAACACATGCTTTGGAGCCTGATTGTGTTAAGTTATTTATAATTTTTGACTTTAAATACCAAAAAGGCTTAGTCCACTTTATGCTCTAAAGAGGTGATTCTGCAAGCTGTCTCGTGTGGACCTCTCGCTGCAATCCATGAGCGTTCCGTGAAAGGAAGGATTTAACAGCCTGCAATTTTATTTTGTTAGGGCTTATTTTAAATATGGAGGTTCATGTAAAATCATAAAACGTCTTCTCCCTGCCCCCATTCTTATAGCTTATGCAAAATCTGTTTGGTTGTGTTCAGTATTTGTGTTTTAAAAAATTGTACTTGTGGAGCGAATGAGCAGGGGACAAATTTTCAAAGGGGCCTCAACCTGGCATCTTGGTTTTAAGCTTCAGTTCTGTGCTCCAGTCCATGGCAAGGACTGTTGCTCGAGAATTAGCCACTCACGATGCTGCCTCATGACACCTAGCAACTGATCTGCTTTGGCACTTATGCCGTCGTCCGTTGAGGCAGACGGTTGCCACGACATATGAATCAGTTTGCAGCATGGCTTAGGGCATTTCAGGGCCAGGCCCTAAACTGATGTAAATTATTGTTGGTGCATAGTGGAGACATAGCAATTTACACCTGCTACCAAACCCACACTCACCAAAAAGTTGTGGGTGTGAAATTTGCAGGCTCAGATTTAATGCCCAGATTCTTTGAAAATTTGTCCCCCCCCTCCTTTTTTTTTTTTTTTGTTCCAAATTTTAGCTCAAAACATATTTACAATGAAGTCATAAACTTCTGAGTGCACAGGTTCCTAATAAAAATATTGACGGACCTTTTAACTGCAGAGGTGCTAATGAGCTCTACTAATATGCGCTGAACTTTGATGCATACCGAGATATTAATAGATCGTGGTGATCCTGTCCAATGGCGTGACAAGAGTTTACAGCATGCGTATGGCCTGGGACCAGAGAGACGAGCAGAACTCTCCTCCTTGTGTGCTTTTTCTGTTAGTAGCCGGCGGTGGACTTGCGGTTACAGCTCATTGCCCCACATCCTGACGGTGACCAGATGACACTGCTGGAAGTGTTTTAAAACTGTCAGGAAAATGAAAGCGTAGATGCTATAAACAGGACTTGCAGAAGAGAACGCAAGGCTATGTCTTTGGGTTCACCTTTCCCTCCATCAGCCACACACCATATTGGTGAAAATGATGCAGGAAACCACAGAGCCTACCGATTGTTGGACCTGTCCGTGATGACAGATCTGGTCACCCTGAGTCCTGCAGCATTCAAGAGGAATCCAGATGATGGTGCTGTTCAGAGTTTAACAAGGAGAACTTCACATTTTTTGTTTTATTTGAAGTCAATCAGGAATTCCACTGGTCAGAATCCAGAGCTGAAACTGGCCCTTGATGGACCGTGAGTCTATATTTACGTAAAAAAGTGGTGTCAGGGATTATCTACTTAGAGCAGTGGTTCTCAACCTGCGGCCCGTGGGCCACTCGAGGCCCAATCAGCACACAGCTGCGCCTATGTGACATCCTCAGGGCCATACAGGTAGTATTGGATGTGGCCCACAATGGGAAATAGGTTGAGACCACTGACTAATAAGAGAGAGGGAGTGGTGGAACTGGGAAGATGTGAGAAGGTTTATAAGAAAATTGGGGGTGCTCACATACAAATTTGCACACAAATTAGTTAAACTGGTGCAAACTCCTGTGTTTTCTACACTCATTTCAGTGTAAGAGTGGCTTATTTCAGTTTAGGTTAAACCTGCTCCCAAGCTATTTACATTAATTGAAACAAGCCTGGTTTAAACTGAAACACACAGCCTTTGGCACTGGTTTAACTAAATCAGTTTAAAATCACATTCATACCAGTGCAAACCTGCATGTCGATAAACCCTTCCTAGCTGCAGGAGATTCTTAAGCCGAGACCTTAAAAAAGAAAACACAAAGGGCTTGTCTTCACTGCCGTTAGCAGGATGACCAGATAGCAAGTGTGAAAAATTGGGATGGGGTGGGGAATAACAGGCGCCTATATAAGAAAAATCCCTGACTATTGGGACTGTTGCTATAAAATCGGGACATCTGGTCACCCTAGCCGTTAGCTCAAGGTGTAACTTGAGTTGTGCGTCTAACCCAACTCCTGTCCACACACAAAAATCTCTAGCTCAAGATAAGCAGTGCTTTTAAGCTTGAGCTAGCTGGTCGGTCAAGAGTAGTGGGTTGAAGTTTGAGTGCTGCTGATGCTGGAGTTGTTAATGCAGGGGAAGGCAGCAATCTAACCAGAGGTGAAAGTAAGCCGGTCCGGTCCGGTGTACCGGTAAGAAAGCCAGTACACAGTCGACCGTACCGGCAGGGCCGCTGATGGCAGGGGGCCAGCAAAAGAGGAAGCTGCCCCAGAGTCCAGCGATTTAAAAGAGCCCGGGGCTCCCAGCAACGGCCGGAGCCCCTGGCCCTTTAAATCACCACCGGCGGTGGGGGCTGGGCAACACTGAAGGACTGGCTGGGGGAGTCTGGCCCCAGCCCTGCCCCTTCCACCTGAGGTCCCGCCCCTTCCGGGGGCCCACAGCTGCCCCCCACACCTTGTCCAGGACCCCGGCCACCCAGCATACCGGTAAGTCCATTAAGTTACCCCTGAACCCAACTCACAACAGCTCAGCTGCTAACCCACCTGCTCTATGAAGCTGGAGTGTGGTTTTGCAGTGTAGTTGCTCTCACTGGGAGTATATCCGCATTGCAATTGGAGGTGTGATTGCAGCACAGGTAGACCTACCTGAGCTTGCTTTGATCGAGCTAGAGCAAAGTTAGCTCAAGTCACAATAGCAGCAAAGCTACCTGAGATGTGTCTACACGCGCCGTAGTCACTCCGTCCGATTGCAGTGTGGACGTACTGCAGGCTAGCGCTACTGGAATAACTCAGTCCGCCTGTTCAAGTGAAGTCAAGCCCAGAAAAACCAAAGCAGCACCGCTGGCCGCGCCTACTTTTGTAATCCCACTGGCAGCTAACATTTTGGTACATAGTCTTGGTTATCTGTCTCTGTCAATCTAGCGCGGGCTGGTATCTTATATATGTGACGCACGTCTGGTGCTTTTTTCCAGGTGTTTTATGCATTTTGATAAGAGATTGAGACCATTGTACCTGGCTGTATTTTTTTTTAAGAGCAAATCTTGCCTAACCTTGCTTGTGTGACAAGGGTTGTTGCAGTCAGAAAGACCTGCCAAAAATAAAGGAAACCAATCAGCTGAACAAAGCCTTGTTTTCATTTAAATACATAGGTGCAACGTGATACGGCTAATAAGGGAGAGCCAGAGCCAAATGATACGTAATGTGATTAAGTATTAAAGTAGCAATTTATTCAGCTGACTCATCTGCCTTAATTTACATTCTCAGGACCAGATTTTCAAAGGTAAAGAGGTAGATAGAGGCTTTGAAAATCCCACTAGATGCCTAACCATAAGGACAGTTGTACCAATATAACTGTGTCTGCAACTAGGGTTTTTACCATCATAGCTCTATCGGTAAAAATCACACCTCCAACTGACACAGCTATGCTAGTAAAACTCTTAAGAGTAGAGCCAGAATTTAAAGTGGACTTGGGCAAGGACTTCTCATTGAAGGCACTCCCCCCTCCCCACCCCAAAGCAAAATGTTAATTAAGGAGATTAAGATTGGACACAAAACAAAAAGCCTATCACATACTATCATCTAGGGTGAATACTGGGGTTTTCAGCATGCTAACCAGAGTGCTAAGGTGTGGAGGTGGGGGCTGTCAGCTTAAGAAATTGAAACCGTCACTAGAGAGAGGAATGAGAAGACCTTGCAGGGAGTTTTAGGAATCTGTCCTTTGAATTCCAAAGCATTTGCTAGATTAGAATGATGCAGTGATGCCAATTCTCACGATTTTGTCTGGTGATATTTGGTGATTTTCTTAAAGCTCTTGCTCCCGGAGGCGTGTGAGGAGGGGAGAATCTCAACTTGCATTAATTTTTTTTTTTTTTAAAAGAGTGAGTTTCTATCCCTCACTATTGAGGAGAAAAGCTTGAAAATGTGACTCGAGTGCCACCTACGTGCTCAAACCAAACGGCAAATAAAACAAACCCAACATTTTTCGTGCTTAGCCAATCTCCTAATTTTTTGTGGCCTAACGGGTTGGGCTTGGCGATGCTGATGATGT